ACCATGGGAAGAATGACCCATGTTGCTTTCCGATTGGGTAAAGTGCACGCGCTTGGGGATGTCGTAGTACTGGATATCAATACGTACGACGTTCTTTTCGGACTTCCTTCTCTTGTGGCGTTACGAGCAAACTTGGATTTTGAACGAAGATCGATTATCCTGCGAAATACAGGAGAAAAACCCTACGCTGTGCCCATGCGATTAACCCTTCGTACTACCATTAACGAGGTCCCACGGGTCTCGCCGATGATGGCAGGGACTCTCYGCATGATCTCCTGGGCTGAATCCGCAGATGGAAAGTCATCAACGAATGATGCGGACAGCAGTGACGAAGATGATCCGGGGATCTTGAMATTAGCACGACARCRCGTTTACTACCCGCCGCCCAAARCGATAGCSAGAACGATGCAACTGACCAGCYGAAAAATTCAAAGAACCAAGGCAATGATCTTAGGTGAGCCCCTCGTGCAGATTTCGAGGATGGTCGATTCTTTGGAACCCCCTCAAACTTTGTACGTAGGAATCACCCCTCTTCTCRCCCRGTACAGCGACAAGAAGCATTACTGTGACATTACGGATCTACCCAAGTCCTTACTAACACYRGCTAAAGAAGTAAGATTGTTACGCTTGGSGGCGGAAGCAAGCTCTCTGGAACCCCCTGGGCRTTTCGAAGCAGAAACAGACGGAYWGGGGATAAAAATTACAACCAAGGAAGTGCCATGGCGGGATTACCCCAGAAGGACACGTGGCCATCCGGGAAGAAGATGCCCAGATGATCGCCACGGTGTTCTCCGGGTGATCGGACCATTCATTCATCTCGGCGCCTCCACCCGACTTGGCAAAACAGGCGAGAACGAAACAGATTGACGTTCGGATCTGGGACCAATTTTTCGAACTACACGTCCCACAGTACGTGCCGGATAAAATCCACCGGGTAATTGCGGATGTTCTAACGGAATATCAAGGAGCAATTAGTGTGTCAGACACTGATATTGGGTTGTCGTTAGCAATCCAACATGAAATTCAGACAGGAAATCACTTCCCGATTCATTGCAAACCTTATCGGTATTCCTCGATTGAACGCAAAAAGGTTATCGAACGAATTCGGGAGTTCGAAGCCAGCGGCTGGATTGAACCCGTTATCGGACCTTGGTCCTTTCCCGTAATGTTAGTACCGAAGAAAAACGGGGCGATTCACATCTGCATTGATTATCGCAAGCTGAATGAAATCACGATCAAAGATGTGCATCCCCTCCCCCGGATTGATGATTTGTTGGATGCGGATGGATGCGCTAATTATTTCAGCAAGTTTGATATTCGACATGACTTCCATCATATTCCGGTAAGGGAAGAAGATCGGTCGAAGACAGCCTTTGTACTATTTGAGGGCACGTGGCAGTGGGTTCGGTGTCTGATGGGGATTTGCAATGTGGCTGCCACGTTTCAGCGAGCGATGAACATGACGTTCCAGAATTTCGTCAACAAGACACGGCTGACGCAAGGGATGATTAACTTCTGCTTGATCGTGTACATGGACGATATCCTGGTCTATTCGGAAACCTATCACGGGCACGCGCAACATATCGAGTGGACATTGGGCGCGTTGCGAGACGCTGGGTTCAAGATTGCGCTCGAGAAGAGCGAATTTTTCCTCTCGGAAATTTCGGTCTTGGATTACGTCGTGACACGTGGAGGATTGCGGCCGGACTCGAGAAAAGTTGCGGCGGTAAAGGAAGTCCCGGTTCCCACGTCACTAACGCAGGTTCGAGCCTTCTTGGGGCTGACGTCGTATTACCGACGCTTCATCAAGGGTTTTGCCGCGATTGCACGACCACTAATGAATCTGTTACGAAAGGACCAGCCTCTCAGCTGGAACGCGGAGTGACAGCAGGCCTTTGCAACCCTCAAAGATGCTCTGGCGACGGGCCCTATTTTGATTCAGACGGACCCATCGAAGCAGTTCATTCTCATCACAGACTGGCAACCGGAAGTTATTTCCGCTATTCTAGCGCAGAAGGGGAACGATGGTCGATAACACGTCATTGAGTATGCGTCACGCACCGTACCGGACGAACGAAGGAACGACTCCGCACCTCAAGGCGAGTGCTATGCGGTAGTCAAAGGAATCCAACACTTCTATCCATATCTCTACGGACAAAAGTTTCGCCTCGTGACGGATCACGAGCCTCTGCTAGCATTGAAGAGGCTCACCAACTACACGGGCATGATGGGCCGTTGGGCGGTGCGACTTCAAGAGTACGACTTCGATATCGTCTACCAGAAGACAGAGCGACACGGCAACGCGGACGGATTGACACGTCTACATCGACCTGCCAACGTACCGAAGGGCGAGGAAATTACACCGTGGAAAGAGCCGGACTTAACCAACGAGCCGAAATACGGACAAGTGGCGATTCTTCCACGTGGCAAGAAGCAAAACGGTGGCGATGGGTGCTGGAGGTAACCCCGCTACCCCTCTCTCTCCCCTTTCCTCCTCGTCTCTCCTCTCCCTGCCTTACAAATTTTGCTATTTTTGCGAAGCTATCTCCCGCGTATACTCGGTCTCCATGCGTCCTAACAGGGAAGGGTATGTTGATTGGATAGATTGCCGAAAGTGTGTTGCACGAGCCCATGGCTCGTGCATCCAATACAGGAACGATAGAAAACCGTGGTTGTGCCCCTTGTGCCGGGCCGACAAGATTCCGACCGAGGCTCGCTTTTTGGATGCCACGTCAGAAGGGTTGGAAAAGACCCGGAAGTTTAGAAGGGCCGAAGTATGGACTGATATTGCCTTAATTGCCACCCTAGTAGGTAACCCCCTCCAGGATTTCACCAAGGAAGATCAGAGGAGGGCCTTTGAAAGGGCTCGGGATTATCGGTGGATAGAAGGTAGATTAGAAAAACGAAAAACGGACGGCAGTGGGATTTGGATGGTGGTACCGAATCCGTTCATGCGGTATGACTGGGTTAAGACAGCCCACGAGGAAAATGCGGCCCATTTCGCCGTACGAATCACGGAGTCCGCCATCGACAAAAATGAGTGGTATTGGTCCAATATCCGCGACAATGTGAAATACATTGTCGCCAGTTGTCAAGTCTACACCGCTGATAAAACGTCGATTCAGCCACCAAGATCGATAGTGCCCACGGTTGTCGAACGGCCATTTCAAGGAGTGAGCATGGACACTACCGACGTAGTGGTGCCCCCTGGCCCTAATAGTTGCGAGTATTCAGTCTTATTGGTATTTGTCGACCACTTCTCAAAATGGATCGAAGCGTATCCTTGTCGCACGAGGCAAGCCACAGAGATCGCGCGATATGTCAACCGTTTCCTCGGGATGCATCAGGATACGGAAGAGATCCTAACCGACAACAGGGCTGAATTCAGGGGAGAAGTGTTAAAGGATCTGGTCATACATGGCGTCGCATACGGAACACTGCACCCCACATGTCACAATCCAATGGGCTGGTCGAAAACGCTAACTGGGTGATAAAGACAGCATTGCGACGAAACATCGCGGCACAGGATCCGAGACCCTGGCCCGATATCGTCGATCACATCCTGGCGGTCCATCGCGGAACGCCTCACAAATCGACAGGGCTAAGCCCCTTCCAATTAAGGACCAATAGCGTCGCTTGCGTTTCAATACCAAGCCTCCCAGACGAGTCTACATGGAACCGACGGCCCACCAGGGCCACGGCTAGGGACAAGGCCAAACATCACCTAGAGCTAATGGAACGGTCACTGCCCAGGCTAGCCCGAAAACGACAGAAAATGACCGAACTAGCCCAAGGCCGGCAGGTCCGCAGCTACGAGGCCTGGAATGGGAATGCGGGTTCGCGGCCCCTGTACAAATTGGGGGACTTGGTGCAGGTGAGGAAATGTGCTCGCCAGGGTAAGCTAGCGCCACGATTCTTCGGGCGATATTGCGTGATCTAGCTCGGCCCCAACGGCGTGGACACTGTGCGTCTCGCCCCTGAAGTCTCGAGCAGCCGATCGGCTCGTCCGATCACACGCCACGTGTCCTATCTTCGCCTCCTCCCCTCTACTCCGTCTCCTTCTCCCTCGATCTCTCTTTCTGAGGAAGCCGGCGACGACGGCTCTGACTCTCCGCCATCTCCCTCTTCCTCTTGTTTCCTCTCTGCCACCCCGTCACCCCCGCCATCGCCATGAGCTTCGCCATCGAGCGAGCTTTCAGTGATCCGTTGATGATGCCACAGGGAGACATTTCAGCCATCCGCCAAGTGCATCATCCGCGGATCAGCCCCGACTTCATGCGCCTTGCGCAGTTCTTCTGCACTGCGGGTGTATACGGTGCGACAGAATTCCAATTCACGAGCAATCCCCAGGTGGTGGTGCTGGCCGAGGCAACGACGTTCCAACGGCGAGCGGCCCTCGGAATCAGCCACGTGTCTACCGTGGTAGTCTTCAGCGGAGACATCACCGCCTTCGATCCGGCGCGGCAAGCCGCCATCAAAAGCACCTTGTACCAGTGGGGTCACGATCTGACCACTGATTGGGATCGACGACTCACAAGGCACGGTGACGAGTGCTATCCTGTCGACGGCATCGAAGTCAACACGTTGCGCACGACGCTACGCGAGCCACCTGTCGTCCTCCCAGAACTTGCTACCTTCCAACCGCGCAGATGAGCCGCGCGCCGATCTCGACGTTCTCTCCCCCGTCTCTCTTCCCCATCTTCTGGCAGTCCTCTCACTACCCTCATCTCTCCTTCCGCCTGGAACCGCCGGCGGTACCCATCGTTGATCCGAACCGTTGGAGACTGTGGCGTGCAGAATTCATTGAGCTCTCATTCTGCCTGCTACGAGTGGATCTGAACTGGACGTGGGAAGGCGATCAAAGGCCCGCGTCAGAGATTGTGGAGTTGATCGTGATTCAGGCGTGGAAGACCAACGTGGCTAGGGACCTTCTGGGATTTGTCTTTGGAGCAGTGGATCGGGGAAACCGATCACAGATCATGTGCGAACTTACGATAGGATCGCGCGACTAGCATACGAGCTCCCCCTTGACATTGTCTCTCAGAGCGACAAAGAACCCATGCCACATACCCTCTCGAGGACCCTCGCCCCAAGCCTCCAGTGGTCGGCGTGTATCGAGGAGCGTTGGGCGGACGACTGTTTTCCCTCTCGTAGCGAGTACCTGGACGTCCACAGCCTGACTAATCCTCGCTTCTTTTGGCAACCAACGGCGTTCGAGTGGGCGGCGCTGAGAGCAGAAGAGGAGGCCGAAGAGGAATCGAAAGGCGAATTGAGGAGAGAGGTCGGGGAAGGAGCGGCCCGATTGGTCGAGGACGAGGAGGAAGAGCGCGAAGCTGAAGAAGAAGAAGAAGAAGAAGAAGAAGAAGAGGAGGAGACCTCGGAGGAAGAGGAAGAAGCCTATAGTGAGTACAGCGAGGGCGAGCAAAGTGAGGAGGAGGATGAAGACGACGAAGAAGTGGAAAGCGGAGATGACCGGGCGCCAACGCACAACGACGAGCTCGAGTGGGTGCCAGGACCGGATCAGCGAGAGGAGAACCCTGAGACTGCTGCGCAGCGCAAGAAAGAGATCGCGGAAGGTTAGAAGCTGGCAATCGATCCCACACCGAACGATCCCTTCAAGGATCCCGAGCCGCCCAAGCCGGAACATGGAGACCTTGCTGCCACAACCTCGAGAGCCGCGACGACAAGGCGCCGCCCCCGATCCCGATCCTCGTCCCCCTCCGCCTCCGCCCGTCCCCCAATTCGTCAACGAGTCAATGAGGGGTTTAGCCCTTCGTCCCCGATCCATATACCACCATCCCCTTAGCTATCTCTCTTTCAATCAGTATCTCCATCGCGTCGTCTAGCCCTGTAATCCCTTCCCCATCGCCACCTTCCGGCATTTCTACTCCGCCCGCCTAGAACTGACTGTCCACCCCCACCCTTCTGTTCGGTGTGTTGTCCCCGATTACCCCCTCCACGTTCAACTCCTTAGTGCCGCGTGGCGAGGCCGTAACCATATAGAGGTTTACTGCATCGTTACAGGGACCTTCCCCGCGTGCGAAAACCATGATCGGTTCCGCACAGATGTCCTCCGAACCCTTGTATCCCTTTACCCAGACTACCTCGCTTCCCCTCCCTGTAGCGGCCAGAGATTTCCCCGCTTCCATTGCATTGTCCGATTTCAAGAACTTCCCTATGACCTCACCGCGATCGAGCGCTTCATACCCGAGCTTACGATGGAGCCGCACCGCCTTCCCTCATATGTGTATCGCCTTCCCTTCCCCCTTCCGATTAATTACTGATGCAGCGGTAATGGACGCATGTCGCGGCGACGGCACGAGAAAAATCCCATCCTTGGATCGTTGAGAGCCCAGTCTGAGGAACTAGTAGAAGAGCAGAGCTGCTATGTTGGATGACGTCCACACGCAATCGAACGGTTAGTGGCATACAGAGAAGTGCTTCGCGTGTCAATCGATTAAAGAGAATTGGCACGTGTCGACAAGCAAGAAGGAACTTGCTAATATTGGAACCCCCTGGGCGTCACATATGTGACGAACCAATTTTTGTAACGCGCGATCTTCTGCGCGGTTGCAACGAGGGGTCCTAAGCTGGGAAGATTGGGCCAATTACGGGAGATCGGGATAGGTGGAGAATTGCATCAGTGTCCTCGCTTTTTCGTCCTTTTCGTCGCTTCCTTCTTTTTCGAATGGCTGGGCACGGAACTGGGTGTGTCTTGGGACGGCCGGCTGATTGATTGGTTGGATGGATGTCTGGCGTGCCCCTGCACGCGCGAATAATAAATGTTGACGTCATTTCTTTCGGTTCGGTTTCGATCTTTTGGGCGAGGGCATCGCGCGGAAATTTGCCTTGTTCTTTTTTTGAATTTTTCTTTCAAATCTTTTTCAATTTTTGTCGAGCCCTGATGGCTCTCAGAATTTCGGACTTCTCTCCCCGAAACCTGTACTTTTGTCTTTCGCATTAGTTAGGAATTTAGGAAATTTGTAATTAGGACTTTCTTTTGCCGCCCGACGCCCTTATTTGCTTGCGCTCTTCTTTTTGCAACTCCAACGGTACTCGGATTAATAGGCACCCTTAATCGGGTGTGTAACTCTAATCTTGGGCGGGCGCCATTGCAACTATATCCTTCTTCTTGCACTCCGTCTTTCCCGCCCTCCTTCTCCTTCTTTTGCTACGTTTTTGAAACTACGTACTGCATGCTCAGATCGATGCGTGGAGAGTGGCTACGTCCCCCATGCCGCGGCCCGGTCATGCAGAACGTAGGCACTCCCTCCCTAATCTCCCCTCTAAGTCTTCGTAATTCCGTATTCTTCGCGCATGCATGCACGCTATAAATTCCGGCTGCGCGATTAGTTAGCCCTCTTAACCGGTTGTTGGAAGCTCGGGGTTGCTCAATCAGGAAGGGTCGGGACACGAGCGAAGTAAGAGGTGAGTAGAGCAGGAGTCGGGCGATCCGAGGAGCTGGTGCCGAACACACGGGGTTCACGCGAGCCACGACGGATTGTGGGCGTAGGCGAACCTGACGGGTGCAGGAGGACTAAGCGGGGTGACGACTTCGTGGGTTGGTGCGTGACGACGGACTGTCCGCATCGGAGAAGAAGAGCGAGAGAGAGATAGAGTTGAGGTTGATGGACGCGGTTTTGTTGTTTCTTTGTCTTTTCCCCCTCTCTATCTGTGTATATAAATTTTGATTGCGGTTCCGGGTGGTTTGCCTGTTCTTATTTTCGCTTCGGCTTTTTGGAATCGGACTTGGGATTTTGCTCACACTTGTCCTTGCGATGTTTGTCTCGATTGCATTATGTGTATGATTGCTGAATGTATGGATGTATGGATGCTTTGCTTGCGAATCTTTGTCTTGCTTTTGTTTGTATCGAATTTTTGTCTGCACCAGATGTAGATGGGATAGGAATTTGGCCTCGATCGCGATTCTGCTCTCGTTTTTGCTTGCCTCACGATTGGGTTGTGATATGGTTGCATCTTGCATAATCCGAAGCAATTAGACGATCCGAAGTCTCGCCCCGTGAACGCCGCGTAAGAACGCGTGTAAACGCGATCTAAGTCGCGCCCTTACACGCATTCCCATACGTCGACTCGCCCACCGAGAAAAGGTTTGCGTCGGAACCATCATCCCGTACGAGCACGCCGAGGCGCCACTAAGCTTGCCTGTCCTGCACGTGCTCGTGCGCCGTGACGATAACCCGAGCCGAGCCATCCCATCGACAATGATACCATGACGAGATCTTGGAGCTCAGACTCATCCTACGACCCGGACTATTTCACCCCTTTGATAAACGAGCTCATAAGGACGCGATACCCGTGTCACACGGAGAATCGACTATGTCCGCGGGAATTCCACTGCGCCTCCTCTAGCGACCCTCGATGCTCCGATTTCCCCTCCCCGGACCACACCTACTACTTCACCCACCCTGGATTTATTGAGATCACCACCAGTTTCCCTCCTTTCCGCCTTCTTCTCCCGTATCATCAATTCAGCATCGTTCTGTGGCCGGCCATAGCCCCCTATTGGCCCGATACGTTCTGCGTGAATTGCCGACGTAGCGGCGAACAGAGAACATCGGGCCTTCGAAGGCCCGATCCAAGTACGTGGCGGCCTGCGCCACGTGGCAGCCCACGACGACCTAACTTTTCGGGACCACCTCCACCGCGGAGGGATTTCCCCGTAAACCGTCGCCGACAGTGCCCCGGCCCCATCAGACCATGAGTCCCTTGCGTACGCACCTCTCATTCGCCTAATTGCATTCATATCCCTAAGAGACCCCCACTTTTCCCAAAAATCCTTGGCACACCCCTTTTTCGCACTTCCAGACCCACATCCCACTCCGATCAGGAAGTCGCGCTGGGCGTGAGGTTGGGCATCACAGTATGGCGAGTGTGTTATAGGAGTAGCTTACGCATGTGCAAGCCCAACAGGTGCTTAGGTTCAAACCCCAATGGCAGCAACATCTTGGATCTTGATAATATAAATCCGGGAGCAGGGCGGGGCAGCGTGGTACGTGCGCGCGTGCGGCAGCCTTGGACGTGCTTTTTTTGCCACGTGTCACTCTCCTGCCGCAGCTTTTTTCTTCCCTTGTTTTCGTTGGAAAATGGCCCGAAAACAGCCAAAAACCCGCCTGTCAGGTTTTGCTGTTTTCCCGACTGTGCGGGGTGGTGGGTGGGAGCGGGGAACGTTCCCGCTCCGATACCAGTGTGGTGGACCCACCGGGTGTGGTGCTCCGCTAGGGATAGAGATGGAGATGGAGGAAGAAGGGGAGCGAGATGGCACAACGCAGCTCCCACACCAGACTCCAATGCACGTACTCTAAACTGTGCGAAATTCATATGGAGAATGAATCGCAAAACAGACAACAGTTGGGGTATACCCCAACGGACTGACGGGACTGGACTGGACTGGCTGGTACCGACAGAGGTACCAGCCTGGACCGGACTGCCCCGAATAGAACACAGGCCTGTGAGAACAGGCCAAGGGGCTGGTCTCACAGGCCAACCAGAGGTCCGCTACAGATGCCAAGTAAGGGCTGGGGTCTGCAATTGGTATCTTCAGGGATGAGTGGTGCTGGAGCCCGCCCAACATTATTCTGACAAAAAGGGAAGGATCTGTCCGGGTMGGCGGGACTGGGGTGCCGCCCGACAACATAAGTGTTTCTGGACTCGTTCCATCCACGTTGAAGTTGTCGAGCGGAACGCCCTGCCCCGTGACCGACCTGCCAGCACCCTTGCCAGCACCCTTGCCGAGAAAAGCTGGGGGTTGCACTATATATATATGCTGGAAATGTTTTGCATGCAATTTCAAATCAAGCTAGCCTAATAATAGATCGTCAGCACAATAAAATTGGATGCTTGGTCAGGGCTTCGATAGGGCTTCGATGTGGGCTGATGTATCCCACGCACAAGTTATATACAAAAAAGGAATCACGAACGTGCATGGAAGAGCATTGCCAAACAAGGGCAGGGGTGTGCAAGGTGTAACTTTGGGAAAAGTATTCATGGTTAGCTGTAGTACACTSTGCATTTTACTGCTCAGAAAAATCCTTCACATAGGAACGAACGGTGTTGGAGTACCTTACATTTCTATGTCGTATACATCCTTCACATAGGTATTAAGGGCATGCTTGGACGTGKTAAGGGTGTGCTCGGAATTCCTTACATTTCTATGTCCTACACATGAACTCCATTTCTATGTCGTACACCTCCTTCACTGCTTAATCAATTCATTTATAAATAGTACACAAAATAATGTACTATTTTAACGAATAACATGTTTCTACTGAATTTCCCATCTTCCCCTGTCTCTGGTCTATAATGTCTCCTTATCCTTCCCCTAATGGGATAGTGTCCGAAAGGAAAAAAAAAAAAAAGAAACAAGTGCGGTAGTACCACACTTTCAAACTGTAAAGGCAAAAAAAACACTAATGGGCAACGAAAAAATGGCCGTAGTTCGAAAAGGCAAAGATAACAGTAATGGGCAGTAACCTCACACCCCGACTTCAAAAAGTGC